CAATGGTTTCTCTTTGATGCCTCCAGGCGCATTCCTTCTTCCCCCATCAGTATAAAAGTAGAAACATACTTTATACAGATATAATGTCGAAAATATATAATAACATGTATAAAACGATAACGTCAAAATATATATGTACTAACATAAAGGTTGAAAAACTCATACTGAACTTACCAATGAAAGTGGAAATGACTCGACCAAATATCTGTAACGTCAAAAATACAATATATATAACTAATATAGGGTAAATCAAAATACTTGTACTGAAAATCAAAATCGAAAATGAAAGTAGGTCTCGCCCAAGCATTTGTAACGTCACATACCCCAACAATAACTAAACAATAACAACTATTGTAGACAGGTCTACCAATCCACTTGCTTAACGAACCCAACGAATAAGCCATCGATATCACAGTCGGCCACCCGCGATATCGACAACACATAGTTGTCTCAATAAGCAAGTAGTAATTTCCTAAGGGTGCAAACATACCAATTTGTCCAAACCCAAGTTGACAACAACATAAGCACACAGTTTCCCATAACGAAAAGAAATCAAACATCCGAAAACCAATTCATAGAACTCCACTATCCAACCAGTGCTGCCAATAGAATCTATCAAACCAAGTTTCAAATAGTGCCATACTCAAACTGAAAATAAAAATTATCGTTGTAACTACTCCAAAAGAGGTCGGTACAAATTCTAATCATTCAAAAACCACAAATCAAAATAACACAACACGGCTTCCAAGGTCAAGATAGTTCGTTCAGACTATCCAACTGTCTACGAATAAAAATGCGATACAAGACAAACAACTTAGTACTCAAGGCCTTCAAGAAAATTTCACAAGTCTTAGAATTGAAACGCACATCACTATGAGGTACAAAAGTGACGATACACCAAAAACCAGAACAATGTGATTCACAACGCCTAAACGAGCTGATTCATTGAAAATTTCTCTCGAATTAGCGAATAGCTATGCCAAGAAGGCTAAGAGAACACTCAAGAATTTAAGGTTCAAAACAAGTCCAATAAATCTAAAGTACAAGATAACTGGAGTGAATACATGTTAAACCCCACCCCCGAATTTATATGTAATTTATAAATTCCCAAAGTTTTATTGAAATCAAATATTTTTATTCTTTATTTTCTCTCCATTCCCTAGATGCCACTTGGCAGCACCCTAACTCCCCATTTTTTTCTTCCCTTTTCCCCCACCCCGTGACCTGCCTTCCCATTTTCTGAAACTTTCTCTCTCTAACTCTTAACTCTATCTCTTTGTTCTCTTTCTAGTACCGAGAGACACCACCTTTGCCATTCTCCGTCACTCAACCCCACCCCAAACCCTTATTTCCTGCATCACCATGGCCTAGGGAGTCTATTTATACCTTTGTATGTGTGATCAGCGATGAGGAAAGGTTTGAACTTGTGAGCTCCGAGAGCCCCGAGCTTCCTAAGGTGGAGCTCAGATTTCAGTGGTCTTCTCCGAGCAAACTCTAGCAAGTTTGTGACTGGAAGTGCACGGACTCCTCTGAAAAACATCCCTGGTGACTAATCTCCTTCTTGCATGTGGTTTTTGGCTAGAAATTAATAAGAACTAACATGCATGTTCCTTATTTATTGTTTCCAGAATCTGACAAGAGAATGAGGATGAACTCCAACGAGTTCGAGGTCCATCTCTTCCCAAAACCTACTGCAGTGCATCTGGGTTAGTTCTTATGTATATTTATGAGGTTTTGGTGATGGAAATTCAAGTGGAAACCTTTGTTTTTAATGAATGCAAGTCCCTCATACTGCTTTGCAGTTTCTGAGCAAAAGTCATCGAATCCGAGGTGGATTCGACTTCTCCTCCCCTCAATATGTTTTTGGTGAGTGTGTGTGAGTGTGTGTGGTGCACGTGTGTATGTGTGTGTTGTGCCGTGTGTGTGTGTTGTGTCGTGCATGTGTGTGTGCTGGCGTGTGTATGTGTGTGTTGTGTGGGTTTGGGCTCAAGCCCAAACCACCCTTTTTGTTCTTAAACTATTCAAACCCAAAACCCAATAGGTCCTAACCCTATTTAACCTAAACATAAACCCTAATTCGGATCCAAACCCAAGACCCATTTCCATTTCTTGAAATTCTATAGTTGGGTAGTTTGATAAATTGTACATTTTTGTGCTTAGGTGAAGTTGCTAGTGGGGATTTTCTTAATCCTTTTCCGCACAACTCTGCTACTACTGAGTATCTGTGAGTGGACCCCTTCTAAAATTTGCATAAATGAAATGCATGCCTTACGAGTTTATGAACTAATTTTATGTTAAACATGTTTATGGAATATGCTGTTTATCATCTCGTTTTTTGTGAGGAATTAATTGTTGGCCTATATTGAGCTATATTTTAATATATCGTATTTTCTATAAAAAAAAAACATGAACTGGTAGACTATCTGATGGATGACGATAGGATGCTAGAACATGTTTTAGAAACCCCCTCTTTATAGTATAGACGATGGATGGCTTTATACTATGAAGTGGTTATTTATGAGAGACGTAACTACTTGTGCGTACTAGTGGACACTATACCGCCTGGGGCGAGGATTTGGTGTTGGCAAATAGGCTAGGAGAAATACTCTCTAGCTACGGGCTGAGGGACACGGAGCAGGCATTGGGCCGGGAGTTGGTAATCTCTGGCTACAGGCACAGAGACCACAGTGCTGGCATAGGGCCGGGAGGTATATTTATTCAGTGATCTTACTAGCAGTTCATCATGCTACCAGACGATCTATGAGACGTTTGATGTTTTGATTTCCGCGATATGTCTTTTGAGATGTTTTTGGCACGCTAGGGTTTTCAGTAAAATTATCACTTATTATGCTAGTGGTTTTCTTTATATAAACTGTGGGGGTTAGTATCTTGATAACTGTTTTATTATTATTGTATATATGAACTTGGTCCACTCACCTTTGTTTTGCGCCCCCATTCAAGTTTTAGAAACGAAGATTAAGACACAACGTATGAGGCATACAATCCCGGCATCTAAACATTTCCGCATCGGCATCTTCGAGTCATCTCGGTGTAGGACCCACTCCTTTGTTCAACCAATTTTTATATTAATTTTTTTAGTGTTCTAGATTAGATGTGTGCTCTAAACATGTTCCTTAAATGCATATTCTTTATTCTTTTACATTTGTAAACATTATCAATTCCTTGGTCTCAGCATTTGCATTCAATAAGTGACTTTCGTCACCTTCGGGTATCAGCCAGCACGTGCCTATCCTGGTATTCAGGGAATATAGGGATCGAGGCGTGTCAATATGTAACTTTGATGTAAGAACACGTGCGAGTAACTAACTTGATTTTGTGGTGGCAAGTCGAGATGGTTGAGCGAGAACTCGACTCAAGTGGTAGTCAAAAGTAATCTGATAGGCGGGAACTCAGACTTTTTCCCCATTCCAACTTTGACAACAACTTGTTACAACAATAAACTAAGGGTGCGTTTACTAATTCGTAATCAGATTAAAGGGAATTGAATTGATGAGGAATTGAATTGAGGAGGAATTGAAATGAGGTGGAATCAGAATCAGATTCTTGTTGAAGTTGTTTACTAAAACTGTATGGGATCAGAGTGCTAATGATGTATTTTCTATATTGCTGTTTACCAATTCACATGAATCGGAATCAAAAGCAGTTTGATTACTAAAATACCCTTGTACAAAATAGATATAAATTTTAGGGAGACTTTGAATGCGGTCCTTAGCTATGAATATTTTTTGATTGAAACCTTGTTGGTTTTTAATTTTTGATCGAGGTCCCTGAAATTAATGTGATAATTTATTTCTATGTACGTTACTATATTTTTTAAATTAAAAATTAGAAATTTTAGTTGATTATATAAATGAGATTTTAAATAAAAAACCATAATTTGTGGGATTAAAAATATTAAAATATAAATATACTATTGTGTGTGTGTGTGTGTGTGTATATATATATAAACATGGGTACATTCATCAAAATTAACCAAAAATATTATTGTATCAAAACTTGGTGTACATTCTTCAAAATGACCAAAAAAAAAAAAAGATATTAGGCTTAACAACATTAGTAAATTTCTTGGATTAAACTTGACATGGATACATTTTAAAATCAAAGAAAAAAGAATGTACCCATATTAGTTTAAAAAAGGATTAGAAAAAAAAATTGAATAGATTTTATATAAAAAAAAAGGGTACATTTTACATATAACAAATTGGTATATTTAAGAATGAGTATATTTTAACATTAAAAAGTTATACATGAATGGGTACATATAATTAGCATGGGTACATTTAGCAAAATAAAAAGTAAAAAAGAATATATATATATGGGTACAAATACAAATAAACTTTAAAAATATGGGAAAAAAAAGAATTTAATATATGGGTACAAATTAAAATTGAAAAAAAAATTGTTACAAATTAAAAAAAATTACAAATTAAAAATGGGTACAAACTAAAACTAAAAATATACGATAAAAAATTTAGTTATAAATATAAATATACTAATTGTAACATTTTTAACATTAAATGAATATATTTAGAAATAAAAATTATATTTTATTATTGAAATAATTAATGATATTATTTCTCCAAGGACCTTGATCAAAAATTGAAAAGGAATAAGATTTTAATCAATGGAGTAGCAAAATGAAGGATGAGAACCTAATTTTTCCTAAATTTTATTTAACTAATTAATAATACCAAAAAAAGCCTTTAATTACCATATAAGAAGTCTTTAATAACACAATTATTTTGTATATATGACACTAATACAATTATTTATCTTAAAAAGTCTTTATTTACCATATAAAAATCCCCCACCGTATACAAATTCTACGAACGCCTGCCCCCCCCCCCCTCTCCTCGCCCCTTAAAAATCCTCATCTCCTTCCCTTCTGACTCTTCTTCTTCTCTTCTGATTATTCTTTCTTCTTCTTGTGATTCTTCTTCTTCCAAATAACTAATTAATTCCAAATATTTATTTATTATATTGGTCCTCTGTCTCAGTCTTTCTCTTATGTCTGCTTCTTCACTGGGTTTTGGTTTGAAACCTGAAGGCTGGATCCATCAGGATTTTCAAAGGGAATGAACTCATAAGGAAGAGCATATGGGATTTGAAACTTGAAACCTGGTTCCAAAGGGATTTTCAAAGGCTGGTTCCATCAGGATTTGAAAATTGAAACCTGAAGGCTAGTTCAATCCCGATGACTTTCATTGTGCAGTTTTAAATCAACTCACTGCCTGGAAAGAAATTGCAGGTTGCACTAAACTGCCGGTTCGATAACCAATTGCCAGCAAAGTGGGTGCTGTGCTACCGGAGACGACAGAAGGAGATAAGGGTATGTTGGGTAGAAAAAACTGATTCCGGGTTGAGCTTTTCTTCCGGAATCCAAATACCACCTATTGGTTGGTAATTTGATTCCAGGCAAATCATGAATCTGATTCCTTATTTTTTGTGAGCCCCACACACAATTTTAGTAAACACATGAATCAATTGGAATGAATGCAATTCCCATTCCTGTCATTCCATTCCCCACCCGTAAACAAAGGGATATTCAATCCTTATTCCAATGGATTTGTGCATGTCGGTTTATTTTCTTTTACTGGGCCACAAAAGGAAAACCCAAGCCCATCGCATACCCGAAATGCAAACCCCTAATTTATACGGAGATCCGATCTACTAATGGAATCGGGGAAATCTCCCGAATAAGATTCAAAGTCAGTAAATTGAGTACCCAAAAACCCTAAATTCCTGAATTAAAATCTCAATCCCAGCTCAAATCCTGGTACTAAATTCTCGATACCAAAACCCTAGTCATGGCGTCCGACGACGAGATAGAGAAGACGCAGGAAGAGAGGAAGAGGATGGAGAAGCAATTGGCCTCCCTCACCTCCGTCACCTTCGACACAGACCTCTACGGCGGCACCGACAAGGGCGCATACGTCTCGTCCATCCCTGTGAACGACGACGATGACAACGCGGAGGCCATGGACAATGAAATTGCTCGGAGGATGGCGGCGTCGTACACGGCCCCCAAGTCGGTGCTGAACGAGAGGCCGAGAGGCGGCGACGCCGATGAGGATTTGGGGTTCAAGAAGCCGCAGAGGATTATCGATAGGGAGGATGATTATCGACAGCGGAGGTTGAACCGTATCATATCGCCTGAGCGGCACGACCCGTTTGCGTCCGGGGAGAAGACTCCGGACCCGTCGGTGAGGACTTATGCCGATGTGATGAGGGAGGAAGCCCTGAAGAGGGAGAAGGATGAGACTCTGAAGCTTATTGCTAAGAAGATGAAGGAGAAAGAGGAGGCGCCGCCGGAAAAGGAGGATAAGCCTGCTGCTGCTGAGGCGGTGCCCCAAAAGAGGAGGAATCGGTGGGACCAGTCTCAGGATGGTGATGGTGGGGGCAAGAAGGCAAAAACGTCGGATTGGGACTTACCGGATACGACGCCAGGAAAGTGGGACGCAACTCCGACGCCAGGGAGGGTTTCGGATTCGACTCCATCACTGGGGAGGAGGAACCGCTGGGATGAGACACCCACTCCGGGGCGGGTGGCAGATTCGGATGCTACTCCAGCTGGTGCTGTCACTCCCGGTGCCACCCCTGCTGGGATGGCTTGGGATGCGACTCCGAAGCTTCCTGGGATGGCCACACCGACACCGAAACGGCAGAGGTCAAGGTGGGATGAGACCCCTGCCTCAATGGGCAGTGCGACCCCAATGGCTGGGGCAACCCCTGCTGCTGCCTATACACCTGGTGTGACCCCTGTAGGTGGAGTTGAACTTGCCACCCCAACCCCCGGGGCTATTAATGTGAGGGGAGCCATTACGCCAGAGCAGTATAATCTATTGAGGTGGGAGAAGGATATTGAAGAGAGGAATAGACCATTGACTGATGAAGAGCTGGATGCTATGTTTCCTCAAGAAGGGTATAAAGTTTTGGACCCACCGTCTTCTTATGTGCCGATTAGGACTCCGGCGAGGAAGCTTCTGGCTACCCCGACTCCAATGGGGACTCCTATGTATTCTATTCCGGAAGAGAATCGTGGGCAGCAGTTTGATGTGCCTAAGGAGTTGCCTGGTGGGTTACCATTTATGAAGCCCGAGGACTATCAGTACTTTGGGGCGTTGCTGAATGAAGATGAGGAGGAGGAATTGTCACCTGATGAGCAGAAAGAGCGGAAGATTATGAAGCTTTTGCTTAAAGTTAAGAATGGAACACCACAGCAGAGAAAGACAGCGTTGAGGCAGCTTACGGATAAGGCTCGTGAGTTTGGTGCTGGCCCCTTGTTTAACCGCATTTTGCCTCTGCTTATGCAACCCACTTTGGAAGACCAAGAGAGGCATCTTTTGGTTAAGGTAATTGATCGAGTGCTTTATAAATTGGATGAGTTGGTACGTCCTTATGTGCATAAAATTCTTGTTGTTATTGAACCTTTGTTGATTGATGAAGACTATTATGCACGTGTTGAAGGGAGAGAAATTATCTCCAATCTTAGTAAAGCAGCTGGTTTGGCTACTATGATTGCAGCCATGCGTCCGGATATTGATAACATTGATGAATATGTTAGGAACACTACTGCCAGAGCTTTTAGTGTTGTTGCTTCTGCACTTGGTATACCTGCACTGTTGCCATTTTTGAAAGCCGTGTGTCAGAGCAAGAAGTCTTGGCAAGCACGGCACACTGGAATCAAGATTGTTCAGCAGATTGCCATTTTGATCGGGTGTGCTGTACTTCCCCACTTGAGGTCTCTTGTGGAAATTATTGAGAATGGTCTGAGTGATGAAAATCAGAAGGTTCGTACAATTACTGCTTTATCTCTTGCTGCTCTCGCTGAGGCTGCTGCCCCATATGGTATTGAGAGCTTTGACTCTGTGTTGAAGCCATTGTGGAAGGGTATTAGGTCTCACCGTGGAAAGGTTTTGGCTGCCTTCTTGAAGGCAATTGGTTTTATTATTCCCCTTATGGATGCAATGTATGCCAGTTACTATACAAAGGAAGTGATGGTTGTTTTGATTAGAGAGTTCCAGTCTCCCGATGAAGAGATGAAGAAAATTGTGCTCAAAGTTGTCAAACAGTGTGTGAGTACAGAAGGTGTAGAGCCTGAGTATATAAGAAGTGATATTCTTCCTGAGTTCTTCAAAAACTTCTGGGTTAGAAGGATGGCTTTGGATAGGAGAAACTACAGGCAATTGGTGGAAACAACCGTGGAGATAGCAAACAAAGTGGGTGTTGCTGATATAGTTGGGAGAATTGTTGAGGATCTCAAAGATGAGAGTGAACCTTATAGGAGAATGGTTATGGAGACAATCGAGAAGGTGGTTGTGAACTTGGGTGCATCTGACATTGATGCTCGGTTGGAGGAGCTTCTCATTGATGGTATCCTTTATGCTTTCCAAGAGCAGACGAGTGATGATGCAAATGTGATGCTTAATGGATTCGGTGCGGTTGTGAATTCTCTTGGTCTAAGGGTAAAACCTTACCTTCCTCAGATTTGTGGTACCATTAAGTGGCGTTTGAATAACAAGAGTGCAAAGGTCAGACAGCAAGCTGCAGATCTTATTTCTAGAATTGCTGTTGTTATGAAGCAGTGCCAAGAGGAGCAACTGATGGGTCATCTTGGTGTTGTCTTGTATGAGTATTTGGGAGAAGAGTATCCAGAAGTTTTGGGATCAATTCTGGGAGCGCTGAAGGCAATTGTGAATGTTATTGGTATGACAAAGATGACCCCTCCTATAAAGGATTTGCTTCCCAGGTTGACACCAATTTTGAAGAATAGGCATGAGAAAGTCCAGGAGAACTGTATTGACCTTGTCGGTCGTATTGCTGATCGCGGTGCTGAGTTTGTTCCCGCAAGGGAGTGGATGAGGATCTGTTTTGAGCTTCTTGAGATGCTCAAGGCTCATAAGAAGGGTATCCGGCGAGCTACAGTGAATACTTTTGGGTACATTGCCAAAGCCATTGGTCCACAAGATGTCCTCGCAACTCTATTGAACAATCTCAAAGTGCAGGAGCGTCAGAACCGTGTTTGCACCACTGTGGCAATCGCAATAGTAGCTGAAACCTGTTCGCCTTTCACAGTTCTTCCGGCCCTGATGAATGAGTATCGTGTTCCAGAGCTTAATGTGCAGAATGGTGTTTTGAAATCCCTTTCGTTCTTGTTTGAGTACATCGGTGAAATGGGAAAGGACTATATCTATGCAGTGACCCCGCTGCTAGAGGATGCCCTCATGGATAGAGATCTGGTTCACAGGCAAACTGCTGCTTCTGCTGTCAAGCACATGGCTCTGGGAGTAGCGGGATTGGGATGCGAGGATGCTTTGGTCCACTTGCTGAACTACGTCTGGCCAAACATATTTGAGACATCCCCGCACGTTATCAACGCGGTCATGGAAGCGATTGAAGGGATGAGAGTGGCGTTAGGTGCTGCGGTTGTGCTCAACTACTGTCTCCAGGGGCTGTTCCATCCTGCTAGGAAGGTTAGAGAGGTGTACTGGAAGATTTACAACTCACTGTATATCGGAGCTCAAGATGCTCTTGTTGCATCGTACCCGATGCTCGAGGATGAGGAACATAACGTATATACCCGGCCCGAGCTAATGATGTTTGTATGAGCGGCTGCTGCTGTGGCCGACCGGATTTAGGAATGGAGCTGCTGATTATGGTTTACCATGCTTTGCCGATTTACTTCTTAGTTGTTGTATTCTCTTCTAAATCAGTAAAATTGTGGTATTGTTGCTGAAACTCGTTTTAAAAACTCGTTCGATCGCAGGATTTTGCGTTCTTTTCGATTTTCTGCGATTCTAGTGCGGTGAGAATACTTCAAATTGTAGTTGTACTAATAAAAACCAACTGCCCCATATCGGAAAAATAATTATTCATAAATATATGTTAAAAATAAAGTGTCGTGTCATTTAGTTGGATAAAAGTATTCGCTCATGTACATGAGCTTTCGAGTTTGAATCTCGCTTTCTGTAGTTTAGATAAATACTTCCGAGTTTGAATCCTTCTTTCTGTAGTTTAGATAAATATAATGTAGATTGCCGTGTTTCTTCTCTTATCTGTTTCTTTTTTTGGGGCCCTCACATTAAAATGTAAAAAATGCTCCTGTGGGGCGCATGTGATGTCGTTTCCTTTTTTTTGACAGCATTTTGCCTATTCGACGAAAACTCTTTGCCCTACAAGAATAACTTATATAACACGTGTACTTTCTTATCAATGGTGTCTTGTGCACACTGCACATTTGGTACATTGTAAATTGATTTGAATTTAAACCTGACTCGTGAGTTTTGAAATTGATTTGTGGTTACAAGCAAGGAACCTGGCGTTTCAAATTTAAACCTAATTTTTTTTTTAAATTGATTTGGTAATTGGTGTTTTCATATATTAAATTCTATTCTAACAAAGTAGTTTTTTTTCTTGGTTATGGAAAGTGCCCAAGTGAGATTATCTTGAAGTTCCTCTTTATTACAATATTTTAATTTTGATAGGAGCTTTGTATACATTTTTTTTTTTTATTGGTTTGAGTAATGGTTTACCTGATGGCCAATGTTGATGAAGAAATCAATTAAAGATGAACTGACTGAACTAAGCCTTAATCCTTACTATTTTTGTTCGAAGTTTATATGATCTAATCTCCACTATATATGTCCTTGAAAATCATCTTTAGACAACTTCACCTGTCATCTATAATTTTTTTTATACATCACGTTACTTCCTTCTTTGGATCCTATCGAGGTATTTTAACGGTGACCTAATATCCTGCGTTTACCTGCATAAACGAATAAATCACATTATTTTATGATTATTTCTTAGTTCATTGAGATTGCAAAACTTTTGGAAAGCAGTACCGAATAGTCTTGGAAATTATTTTAAGAATTATAAGTTAGATTTAATTATAATTTTATAATCTTTAATTATCACCCCAGATGTTGCAGACGAAACACTGCCAGAAAATGAACTCTCTTTGTTTAAATTTGCAGGTTGGTGGGAAAGAGTTGGATCTTGTTGAGGTTTGGTGGGTTGGGAATGGGAGAGAGTGAAAGTGAGCAGCAGTAAGTGGAAGAATTTGTTTGATTTTTTAGTGTAAACTAATGTTTTTGCGTCGAAGAATCTGATTAACATTTGTGCTTCTTTGAAGAATTTGCTTTTTACTTACGGAAACGTTTGGTTGCTAAGATTGGGGGAAAGAAAGGCAAAAAACTAATTGAGGGTGTAAAATATGCTAACTTTCGGTATTTTATTCTACAACACTCAAACTTAAAGGTGTAAAATGTAATTTTCTCTAAAATTAATGTTGAAAACTACAAAACTAGCCACACAAATGGCTAGCTTAGCGAGTGATTTCAACTATGTTATGAAAGTGAATTTGTCATTGACTATATTTATTAATTATCATTTTCTATTCAAAGCAAAAATTACTATTTGATTACTAAGGTTGTTTGCGTAAGATTATACTAGTAAGGTGAAGAAAATCAAAATACAATAATAGTAAACAGAAAGTGAGGATGCTGACTATACATGAAGGTGACAGTTTTCCTCCTCAAGTAGCCAAGTGGTTGTCCTCTAAAATGGGAAGAGATCATCTCCAGATCTCTCCCACCAAAGCCACCAAATCCATTAATCTGGGTAATTGAAATTTGATCCAACGGCTACAATTATTATAACTTTTAAAGGGACCTCTTGTTTGTAGTCATTTGATCAAATTTCAATAGCCCGAATTAATGGATTGGGTGGATTTGGTGGGAGAGATCCAGAGAGGATCTCTTCCCCTCTAAAATAGACAAGTGTATGGAGCAATAAGACAGTGAGAGTATCTCCAATCATGTTTTTTTAAGAGCACATTTTCACTCTTTGAAATTGATGGCCTTAGCACTTGATCCTGCGTCACTTAATGTGTCATCGAGGAATCAAAACCTCTTTTGATTCTGCGTTGCTTGTTGCATCGAGGTTTTTTATTTTAGATGCAGGATAAGGACTGTGATCGATGATGTATTTTTTTAAATCCTCTTTAAATTTTAGTTAAAAACTCATTTAGAGAGCCTATTTAAGATGCTCTTATAATGATTAAGAATTGTTTGGAGTTTTCAAATAAAAGGTAGTTATGAGTTTTGTGATTTGAATTCTTGGTTCCAACCCTCTTTTATGGAAAAGGATCCTCACCAAATCCTTTTCGTAAGGATCCTAGGGATTCCGTGATAGTAATCGTGACCATTCATCGTACATCATGCGGTCAAAAATCATTTCAAAATTTAAATTTTAAAAATAAATATAAATAGTACCTAACGAAAACTGACCGCACGATGTATGATGAACGGCCACGATCACGAAATCCCTAGGAAAAGAAACCGACTACGATCCTTAGAAAAAGAATCCGACGAGGATCCCTAGGAAAAGGATCCTCAATTCCCTCTTTTATGACAAGTAATTGTTCAAATTTAATAGATTCCTTGCTACTGTTTTTTCTTTGAACTTCATATAAAACACTAAGTATGAGCAATGTATTTGTTTATTCTAAAAATAAAAAAGTTAGAAGTTGAATTCTTCTCGTCAATGTAAATGAGAAATTTCTTTATCATTGAAAAAATCTTGATCATTAGAATGGTTCTCTTCACGCTTTTACGTTACATTTACCAAGTGAAATTTATTTGCATCACAAATTATTGTCGGTAATAATTATTAGGGTAAATTACATTTTACCTCTTAGGTTTGAGTGCAATTGCAACATCATACAACATTTCATACATCCGTTAATCAAACTGTTAGTTTGACTGTTAAGTGATTACATGGCAACTTGCAAGTCCCACGCTTTTTCTAATGTGGCAATCAATAATATGACACATAAGATAAAATAGAAAAGAAATCTTGTTTTTATACAAAAAATTTAATTTAAAAAGAAAAATAATATGTCAAGCGGGTCCCATTCTTCCTCTTCTTTCTCCTTCCTTCTGTATTCTCTCATTTGCTCCCTCCCTTTTACGCTGCAATTGTAACGACTTGTCCCGAAATTTACGGAAAGGAAGGGCAATTTTGTAATTTCACTTTGGGTGGGATATTTTATTTTAAATGGCTTGCTTTTTAGGTCTTAATAGGTCATTTCCTTTTTGGTCCCCCAACCTTCTTTCCTTCTCCCACTTAGACCCGTGTCCTTTCTCCCTCCTCACAACTCTCGGACCACTCTCTCTCTGCCTCTCTCTCCCTCGCTGCACCCTCTCCTCCCCCGAGCACCTTACACACACACGACACACAAGCAACAATGACAGCGACAACACCACAACATTAAAACCTTCCCATGTCACGATCTCGAACCAGGCTAAGAACCTAGCACTCACCAGTGGCAGAGGCCACTGTCCTTCTCCCTTCCCCGACGAACTCTAACGAGCTCCCACCACCTCCGATATGGGTAAGCCTCGAAAACACTCCAAACATTATTCATTTCGTCCTCGCAGTTCATTCTTTAACTATATTTATGTGTTATGGACGTCGAGGTATCACAGAATCACCTCGGGAAGGCTTTTCTAGTTCCCGACGATGAGGAACCCGAAGCTTGCAGACCATTTCCCGACCAACTCCGGCCACCACACGTCTTGAAATTGGTACAAATCTCCCCATTTTTCTCACTAAGCTTCATTTCTATAGCTTGTACATAAAAAATGATAAAGAAATAAGCTCGAACGGAGCTCGGGAAGGGTTGCCTAAATTCCAACCAAACCCATAGCCTGAAACCAAGTCGACCTGACCTGATCACCCTTAAACCAAGTCGACCTGACCCGATTACCCAGATCCATGACCTAATCTTGCAGCCAGCCTAACCCAGACACTTTGGGCCAGACAACCAAGCCCAAACCTATAATTGTGACCCACTAACCTAACCCAAAAAACCAAGCCCAACCCACTAACCCAAGCCCAAACCTATAATTGTGACCCACTAACCTAGCCCAGAAAACCAAGCCCAGCCCACTAACCCAAGCCCAAACCCAAACCCAGAAACTAGCCCAACCCAAAACCTAGAACCCTAACTAGTGCATGGGCATATGCGTGAGCGCCTATCTTTGACGGTGTGTGGAACATACGTGCCTTCACTGGAGGTACTGGCCGGCGACTTTTCCGGCCAACTTTCCGAGGACCCAAATCGGAGCGTGAGGCTACGCGTGGCGGTCCAGGACGCCCCTCTGTGACGGTGCGTAAGGCAGCGTGTGTGGCGGCGCGTAGGGGTACCCGAAGTCCTCTTTTATGTTTTTCGATGTCCTGAATCCGTTTATGACGTCTGTTTCCCGAAATTCAATCGTTTTAGTATAGTTTTATTAATTGGTACCTTTATGTGCTTAGGTGCAATTGTTTATGGCATTTCCATCCTCTCTAGTTTTCACAGCTCTTCGACGGCGAAGTACCTATGAGTGGACCCCTTCCAAAATGCATATTTTACAATTAGAAATGCATACATGAAAAGCATGATTTGTTGGTTACGTTTTATGAAACGTTTATGAGTAAATTGGATTTACACTTTATGATATATTATGCTTTATCGGATTTACCGGATTTACACTTTATGAAGTATATATGATTTATAATTATATACTTTGAACATGATTTACGATATGATGTTTTAGCTACTAGGCTCTGATTGAGATATATATATATATATATATATATATATATATATTATAAATATTATGTTAATGTTTTTTACTTAGTGGTTATTCATACGATTTGCCTACGGGCGAATGGTCTTGCCTACGAGCGAAAGATACTTATATTGGCTTTGGCCAGAGGTTGTAATGCCTACGGGCGGAAGATATTTTTATATTGGCTTTGGCCGGGGGTTGTAGTGCCTACAGGTGGAAGATACTTATATATGGCTTTGGCCGGGCTTAGGTTGATGGCTTCGGCCGGAAGATA